GCTTTTTTTTTTTTTTGCTTTGTTTTGTATTTGGCACAATCTGATTTAAAACGTTCCTCTAGGAGAGGTAAAAATCACATCACCATTAAGCCTTTGATAAAGTGAAAGAAATCATTTTGGACACATGGGAGATTCTTGTAAAGCTTTATCTGAATTATTTCCAATGTATCTATTTTATTCATATAATCTTGGAGATTTTCTTACTCTAATATATGAAAATGGCTGTCTATGCGTTTGAGTGTGCAATACAAAAGAAAAATAATATCTGAAATGCCAACAGTTTGGGAAAGACGTTAGTATTGTATTCATATAGCTCTATTTCTGTAAGTACCGTTGCTCTTACAAGCCACGCAGTTGGATTTGTATTTTCTTCTTGTGTTGGAAGACGGCTGGTTTTGGTATTGCATAGTAAAGCATCTCGAGTCTAATGCAATGTTGAGACTGTTCCTGTTATGTAGAAGCACTGAGGCCAGTCTGGAATTTCAGTTCTCCTCTGCTATGAGCCAGATCATAAAACGTTCCCAATGATGGCAGGTCTGTATAAGCCCCGGGAAGCTCTGCGTATGGCTTGACTTGGCCCTTGGATTTCACATATCTTTTTTTTTTTTTTTTTTTAATTTTTAAAAAGTTGTTCATTGACTATATACTGAGTATCCTATTACACATGCTCAATTAAATAGGAAAATGCTCAGGTCTGTCTGTACTGGTGCACATCATTTTCCATCTCTGTTTAGGGTTTCCCACTGCCCACATTGTGCAGCGTAACGCCAAAACAGGGGGCTGATTCTCTATGGAGGTGGAGGGTTTTTCAGACACTCAGAGTCCTCCTTGGGGTTGGGTTGTGGTTTTTCCAGGCCTGGGGGGCATCACCCCATCCCAGCGGCTGGGCAGGGCCGTGCGGGACGGGGCCGCAGGCTCCTAATAAAGGACTGAACCCACCCCAGGCCCCACTAGGGTCTGGTCCTGTTCAAACTCTGGATCTGGGTGCGATTCCTTCGCAAGTGTCAGACATCGGCGTCTGCCTGGGTGCGAGCCGGCCCCTGTGCGAGACACTAACGGTATTTTTCATTTTTGCACTAAACTAGTATGAGACGCAATCTGCTGCCTATCTATCTATATATTTTTTTTTGTCAGGTATTTTTCATCAGTGACTGGCCTTCAGCATTAGGCACTTTCTAATACTCGCAGTACTTGTTTGCTTGTACAAGCTAGACCCACCAGCAGTTACTGCTGACCGTTTTTCCAGTGGATCACAGTTTTTTTGCTTCCGAGACACATGAGCGTTTTGTTGCTGAGCTCCTCTGGCTCAGTGCCTTATAGACTGGCATTAATTATCAGATGTCTGTGATGTCTCTATACATACTAGGGCTGCTTTTCCTAGCACGCAGTGGATGGTCAGAGCTGTTTGTATTTCTTTGTTTTCCTTTTTGTGTGTATTCGCTCTCCTTAGAGGTGGTTGGAGTCTGTCAGTAACAAACAGCTGATAGTTTAGGGGAAATTAATATCCCTTTAACCAACCGTGACAACCGCTGATCCAGTGACTCCCTGAGGAGAGCTGCGTGCACGGAACGTCCTTTTGGTAAATGAATGTTCCGTGGTCGGTCTCCAAACGCCCATGGAACGAACTGAGAGCTGAGAGCTTCCTAAGCTGCCCCCGTCTGCAGAGGGGGCTTCATGGAGGTTGGGAGGCTCGTGGATTCTAGGCTATTTGTAGGTTGTTTTTAACGCCTTTTGCTCCTTGTACATTTACCATACAGGCTTGCTGAGCAAAGTGACTCTTCCAGCATCAGCAGATTAAACTGGGTAGTATTGAACAAGAAATCCACTTGCTGCTGCTGCTTTCAACACCCACCTCTGGAAAGTTTTACTTTGCCCTCCTGTGCAACCCTCCACCCTTTAGGCTGAGTGGATGGGGCAGGGGCATCGGAAAACAATAAAAAAACACACAGAAACACTTTTATTTTGTAGTACTGTAAAATTAATTGCTTGAATTGAGATACAGAGCTTTGCAGAGTAACTGTTTTATATAAATCTCTCCGTTTTTTGAAAGCATAAAATTGGTGAGAGGGCACTGCCTATAGGCAGAGCTCATGTTGCACTGTGGTGTATAAATTTACCATGAAAGTTTGCCTCTTTATTATTAGCAAAAGCTGCGTGCGTTTCCCCAGGGAGGTTTCTTAGGAGACACCAAGTGCAGCACCCGGCTGCGTGGCTGGGTCGGAGCCGCCCGGGGCAGGAGGATCTGCTGCTACAGGGAACGGTCTGGACCAACCTGAGTGTTTGAAATTCGCAGGTCACGGTGACTCCGGGGTGTGATCAAAGTATCAGAGGTCTAATAAAATGTTAAGTGCAAAAGTAGCATTGAGGTGCTGTGTAAACTGCATGCATTAGAGAGTAAAATCTGTCCCCTAGGAAAATCAATATTTAGCAAAAACAATCAATCACAAGTTAAGGTAACAAACTATTTTTTAATTGTAATATCCTTCAAGAACCATTCTAATTTTTACAAATTATAAAATTTACAATTACAAAAAAATCAGGATCATGATCATTATCTACAGCAAGTTCAATTTTGTGAAAAAATATATTCAAAAATTAAATATCAAAAGAAAGTTAAATTCATTACTGAAAAACAACTTTCATAAATTATATTGCAGAAATGCTCAAGACACTGACGAAGTATTTTAGCGCTTTTGCTAGTATTGGCTTTGGGTGCTTACAGAAAAATAACCTGCTCTGCTAATCCCGCACAGGAACTGAGCTGCATCTTCCTGCAGCCCACGAGCAGCAGCAGCGGCTGCAGACGGACTCGCTGCTCCCCTCTGCCTCCAGGGTGGTTTTTCCGTGTCTTTACCTACTGCCCTTGGTTGCTGTAGCTTCTTGCTCTTTTTCAGAAAATTTCAGCAGCTCAGTAATAGCCAGGTCCTGTAACGCACTTTTCTTCTCAGAATAACCCAAGCTGGAATAATACTGGTTCATTTAGATCCTGTTGCAGCCTTCATTTTTCTACTTAGACATAACAAATGGAGTGGAGCATGAAAGCAAAACCTCCCCTGGCAAGGTCTGTCAGGGCGGGCTGCGTTGGGGCACGCTGAGCTCTACTCTAGGCTTGCTCTAGTTTTGTCAAACATCATTACGGGGGCACAACCCCCCCGACTCAGCGGGTATGTGCGGGGCAGAGGATGCCCCAGCGGATGGGCCATTTCTTAAGTTAAATGGAATTAACACCAGTATTATTAGTAATAAACAAAAGCAATCTCACCAAACTGAAATTAGGGCATTGCTTTCTTCAGTAATAGGTCCAGACCATGTCCAGCGTGTGATCACTGCCTGCTCTGCCAACTGTTTAATATTAAAGAGGCAGTGATACCACACATAAAGTATTAATTGCCTTACTGGCTAATTTTCATTCACTTTCCCCAAGTTTTCATCAACAATGGCGTGAAAGCAGAACATGTATTTGTAAGGGGACAGACCCAACCTTACTAGGTCCTTTGCTTTAGACTTCCAGAATTACGATAACAGGAGTTAAAATATATATATATATATATATATACACACACACACATATTATATATATATATATATATATATATATATTTCTGCAAGAGATATATATATATAATATATATATTTCTGCAAGAGCAAAATGGTGTAGGATTTTTTTTAGAACAATACCCAATAGCATGGAGCTCTGGTGAGCCGTTTCACACCCTCTTTGTTAACAGTACTTAGCTGCAGTACTTTATCTCTTAGTACAGAGATAAAAGCAGACACTGCTTTCTAAAATATTTCTTACTGATACTTGTAGCAATTACCATGCAATAGTGATCATTTGGGGCCTTACTGGGGCTGCTGGTTCATTGTTCTGCCCTGCTCTGCCACGTTCTGCTCAAGCACCGTCACACACACCCGCTGTACCCCAAAAAATGAGGAAGAGCATCCCCCACGGAACAGCCCTTCCAGAGGGAAGAGGAACCTAACTGCTGCGTGACGGAGAAGGCTCGGTTTCATGGTGACGTTCAGTAAAGGAGTTAACCCGCGTGAACTCCACTCCGGGGCAGAGCCGAGGCAAACACAATGGAATCTGGCCGGAGAGGCACGGGCTGTGACACACCTGCTGCTCCTCCTCCGAGCAAATACTTGATGTTCAAGCAAACACGGAGGCAGTCGCTCGCTCAGGTCTGTTCTGCAGTCACTTGGTGCCGCCTGAGCTCCGGCCTCTGCTCCGGGGCAGGGCACACACTGCAGCTGCAAACCCAGCCTGCTGCAGTGTCCCGTAACACCCGAGCAAACAGTGGCCACTGCCTCTTCACAGAAACAGCCTCCAGTCAGGAAATTTAATACTGGAACTGGTAGTTCACTCTCACAAAGGCACTTAATACTGTCCTGTGCTCTAGGAAAAAGGGCTTAGGAAAAGCTGTAGCAGTGTCTAACACTAGCCCTGTGCTGGTTTCTGCAAACGGGGTGGGGGCTCTGCTGCGGCTCCTGGTGCTGCCGCGGAGGCGTCTGCCCTCGCGGGCACCGCGATGACGAGGCCTCCCCGACTTACCTGTGTGCTGACTGCAAGGCAGGGGCAGCTACTGCAGACACCAGCCCTCCAAGGACTGAGGGACACAAATCCACTGGACATGGTACAGCTGGGCCCTACCCTCGCTCCTGCTGATGACCCTCCAGGATGGGTATTTGCTCTTAGCAGCCCCTGTACCTCCCTCTGCTGCCACAGGTACGACGCCTTCCTCCCCAGCCTCCACCAAACAGCAGAACTGACCTCTCCCCCACCCCTACTTTTTTTTTTTTATTGCTTTTGCTGGCAGACTGATTTTATACAAGTCTTAAGAACAGCACTGCAATAACACGCCCAAACCAGCTTGTTCCAGCAGGTGAATGCTGCTGCCTGCAGCCTAGGAAGTAGCTTAAAGCGATGCTGTGCTAGCCTAAAGCGCACCGCAGGGCAGCAGCGAGCGGCTGCTGGGGACACGGCCCTTCGCCCATGACGCCCGGGTCCTAGATGAGCCGCTCTGTTGGTGGCATCTTGATAACGTTCCACATTTCCACGCGCGCCCCCTCCTTCTCCTGCCGGCTCGGGCTGTAGGTTCCCTGAGTTGCTCTGCGTCTCTTCATGACAATCGCGAGGGCTGCGACGGCTGCACGGAGCCGGGCAGTCCCTGCAGCCCCGACTGCTCCCAGCACGGAGGAGTTGCTGAGCTGAGCCCACGCTGGCTGCTGCGGTAGAACAGGGTGTTACAAGCAGCCCTGACCCGGCGCCAGCTCCCTACCAGGGCAGCAGCCTGCCCAGCGCCCCGCTCTGCCCGTACCGGGCGCCTTGGGGCTCCTCTCCCATTCAGCCCCTCCTGCTCATATCAGTTTTTGGCAATGGGCCCTGCCCGTGAAGCCCCCAGCTGTGCCGCCACGTGTGCTGTGCGGTACCCATGGGAATGTCTAACGAGAGCCGAAACAGAGATCCCGTCCCGCGTGGCTCCGTACAGCGCGTTCAGTCCCGCTCCTTGGGACACTGTCTGCCACGAGGCAGGAGTTCACAGCTGCTGTTGCTGTTGCAGACTGCTTTGTGAAACCAGAGTGGATAACTTCAGATGCCTGAGCTGAAAAAGCTTCGGGTGAATTTGAGTTGTTGAAAAGCAAAAAGGAAACCCAAAAGAAAACATTATATACAACCAATCACAAATACCCTCTGTACATCTCTCCTTACAAGTATACATCTTTAGCTGCAAATTCATGCCTAGTGTAGCCCTGCCTCTTGAAGCAGCACCAGCTGCCCAGAGCCAGAGGAGCAGCAAAGCAGGAGCCCCTGCCCCGCGCAGGGCGGTCACTGGGAGCCAGTGAGGGGCAAGTGACTCAAATGCGAGCGGCTGGGACAGCCACCGTATGACCATGTAGTTCAAGTCCATGTCTTCGGCACCATGCCTTAAAACTGAGATAGAGAGAGCGGATCTGCTGCTGGAAAAAGGCTCGAGGTCCAAGCTGACCT